GTACTTGGATATGGGGGTTAATAAGTAATTGCTATTGGATGAATGAAAGAAAGAAGGGCAAGGCCAGTTCTGGCAAACTGAAAATGGGTTTCTGATAGAATGAGAGAAACATCGACTTCATGCTCCCATGCCATGTCCATTCTTGCTTCAGAACCTTGAGTATGTTGTTCTCTGTACTGGAAATGCCATATCATGTTTTGACTGTTTACTGAACCACTTTAATACTCTGCTTAGATGTCACGTATTCTGAAAAATCATTTTCTTACCAGTCCTTGTTAACTGTTTCCTTCTTTGTATTATTTCTACAGTTTACACGTATCTCATTGTATTGTAAATAGGTTAGCAAGATCCACGTTGCTCCTCTATGGCTGTCACCTCCTGGAGGGTGGGGATGAGTGACTTCTATACCTCAGTAACTCCAGCCCCTAGCCCTGCCCCATGTGTGACACGTGCCAGGCACTCACTACATGATTGAGATGAACTCATGGGTCAGGACTGAGACTTGCTTTCTGATCAGCAACTTCCATCTAAATATATAAAATGTGAGATGAGATAGAGGATAAGAACCCTTGTGAACTGTGTAAGCTTAGTGAAGTTACACAATCTCTCTCAGTTTCCTTATCTGGAAAATGGAAACATCATAGTCTTGGCATCTAGAATTTTGGGGGTAAATAGATTAGTACATGGGAAATTTTTGAACCAAGACTGGCCCATAATAAGAAGTGCTCAGTAACTGTTAGCTACTATTGTATATTAGAATCAGTATTTTAAGAACTCTGGCTTTAGAGTCAGACACATTGAGTTGGAGTCTTGGGTCTCTCTCTTCCTGGCTATGTGTCCGTGGTTGGGTTGACAGCTTGAGTCTACTTCCTCACTTCCAAAATGGAAATAACACTGGCATCAATCTCATGGGGTTAAAGAAGGAAGTTAGGGCGCCTGGGTGGCTCAGTCGTTAAGCGTCTGCCTTTGGCTCGGGTCGTGATCCTGGGGTCCTGGGATCGAGTCCTGTGTCGGGCTCCCTGCTCAGCGGGGAGCTTGCTTCTCCCTCTCCCACTCCCCCTGCTTGTGTTCCTGCTCTCGCCATGTCTCTCTCTGTCAAATAAATAAATAAAATCTTTAAAAAAAAAAAAAAAAAGAAGGACGTTAATGAGACATTACCAGTATGTCCTTCTAATGAGTATTGTTGCTGGTATTGTTTTATGGTGCTTTAAATTTATCAAAGCAATTATAAGTAAATACATTTCTTGTGCTACTCACAGTAATTCTGTGAGCTAGGACAGATGGTTTTCTGAGGGTTTCACAGGTGACATGACTGATGTACACATTGAGTGACTTGCCTAAGTTCTGCAGTTACTTAGCAGCGGAGCCAGGGGCAGGATGCACATTTCCTATCTCCCAGTTCCACGTTCTTTCCATGACCACGCAAGTCATTCCAATGGAAAGCAGTTCCTGAGACTTGACTTAGAAGTACAGGGGGGGAGTGTAAGATTAAGGTCTGACAGATGCCCAGTGACTCAGGCGGCATCTGGGGCAATATTTCCTGTTGGTGAATCGGTGGATTGCAGTGTCTTTGGGGGTACCATTGAAAACGCACCCACTTCATCTACACATGGCCATAATGGAGGAGGACGAATTAGGAAGGGTTCCCTCAATCTGGCTCTGGACTATAGTGTCACCCCCAAGCTTTGCTATTAGGCCTACTAATAGGGCCCACTCCCTGACATCTAAGCGGAGTATTAAAGTGGTTCAGTAAACAGTCAAAGCATAATATGGCATTTCCAGTACAGAGAACAACATACGTGAGGTTCTGAAGCAAGCATGGACATGGCATGGGAGCATGAAGTCGATGTTTCTCTCATTCTATCAGAAACCCATTTTCAGTTTGCCAGAACTGGCCTCTCTTGAGACCCACAGGCAGTCAGCAGGGGGACTAAAAAAGCATGCTTCCACAGTGCAGGAAGGAGGGTATGAGGGGAGACTTAGGCAGTCGCCCTGCTGGTTTGAAGGAAGGACAATCGTGGTCCCCACTTTGTCAGTGATTGTGTTAGGGTCAACTTTCAGTATAACGGGCCCTAGAGTGTTGAAAAGAAATACATTGGAGATAGTTGACTGATTTCATTGGGTACTCAGCTAAAAGAATGTTAGCTTCATCCTTGTTCCGCCTGACTGCTGTTGCACATGTCACATGCTGGTTGCATAATAAGTGTTGATAGGGTGGAGTTAATTATGAGATCAATGAGAGTTTTAAAGATGTTGTGTTTCCCCCCAGTACAGAGTAAAGACAGGGGCCAGACTTCAAGGATTTAAGAAGCAGATGGGTTCTTACTGCCCACCCACCTACATACACCCCGCTACTTTGATGCTCATTTGTGTCCTTTTCTTTCTTCTTCAAATTCTTCTTCCTCCTCTGGACAAGAAGGTGTGGATGTCTGTCCACGTTCAGCTTTTTAAATGTCAGGCACTGTTTCACTTGGATCATTTCAGTGAAGGCTTGGGAAGCTGTGGCTCCCTTTCCCCCTCGGTCACCTGCCATCCACCAGTGTAACCTGATGGCTCCTACCAAGCAGCCGGCCATGCAGTATTTAGTGCAGGGTTCTTAGAAACAACAAACTGTTGAAAACATGGCTAGTCAGCTTTTAAGTAGCTTTTAGTGTCAGCTGGAACAGGGACCAAGTTGATGATGACCATCTCCAGCACTGGGGCAGAAGGAAATTGCAACTGAAAATACCTCGTTCAGTACCTGGCACAGGGCAGGTCAGTGCTGATACATGGTGGTGGGGATGGCTGCCTGAGGTCCGAGCTCTAAGGCCTTCCCCTCCCGTTCCGGTCTAGGAGTCTCGGATGTTTTTTTTTTCCTGGTGCATCCTTTATTTGAATAGCTGCTCTCTGCTCTTAATTCCGAGATTTTCAGCAAATTCCTCCCACTCCCTGGATCTCAGACTCTAAATCTATGTGCTAAGGGTGTGGGACTTGTTAGGGGATTTTATGTGGAGTCCACAGATAGCCTGCAGGGGGGCCTGTGAATCCCTAAGACCATGACCAATTTGTTCATGTATGTGTTGTGGGGAGCACTCTTGGCTCTGCTTAGTGAAGAACCATTGTCTGCCGGAACTCTCGGATGCCTCCAAGTGTTCTCTGACACCAGTTACTCAGTGTCGCCAAGTCTGATAAACATGCTCCTGGGGGTTCACAAAATGATTGTAGGTGGTGCATGGGTACGGCTGTTATGTCACTCGTCATGTGATTATTTTAATGTTAAAAAACCCACTAAAATGGACATTTCCTGATTATTGTTTCTTTGGAGGAGGCTAAGTCTTGCTTTTCAAAAAGGTGACTTAAATGAGTAATATCACAGAGGTAGGTTAATGCCTAAGTTTGAGCAACAGGGATCTCGCCCAAACCCCACCTGGTACGGAGAGAGGAGGAGTCTCAGAGGAGCAGAGAAAAGGCCGTAAGGAAGTTGATGAGTAAACTCTGGACAATAACTCACTCGTCCTTCTAGCCATCCTGCTATCACAGCTCTCTAGAAGTTGGAGAAGTTTCTGATCCTCTCTCAGGTGTCCTCCAAGAACACTGTCGCAGTCAGGCCAGGAATCCTGCCCAGAGAGTTGCCATCGGGGGCCAGTTTATGGGCAATGCTTGAAGAGAGGCTGTGATTGCAGAGGACAAACACTGAGAACAGAGTCCCGTCTTCATCCACACGCTTCTTCAGGTTTGAGAAGTACTTTTCATATCTCAGCGTTTCTGAGATTGGGCTGCATTTTACAAAATGGTGCTCCCTTAAATGCTAGATAGCTATTACCTTGCCAAGAAGCTGTTATTTAAATGGATAGTAGCTTAGAATGGAAATAGGGTACTTAAGACTATTTTTCCCCTCCTCCCAAGCAAATTACACTTGCAAGTTAGGACTTTACTAATAAACACAGTAATCAAAAGAGAATTTCTCTTTAAAAGAAAAATGCTCATTTCCTGTTGACGAATTGGAAGTTAAAGGGACTGAATCATGGTGACAGGTCTGGAGACCCTAAGCCCGGGCCCCGCTTCCTGGGCACCTCCCACCTCCTCTCCGAGACTCCCCTTCACATTTATAAATCCTTTGAATTCACTGAGTCTCCTGCTCAGAGGTGTGCCCCATAGAACCTTCTGGAACTTACAAGTCTGAATTTTAAACGTCGGGGGAAGGATGAAGCCGACTGCACAGGTTCAAGTAGACGTCACGATATTGTGAAAGATTCCTGACTCTCCCATATTCTGTTTTTTTGTGGCAAGAGAGCTGTTTGTTTGATGTATTCGTCCAGATGATGAGCTTGCGGTGGGGGGGGGGGGGGGTTAGAAACCCTTGATGAGACTTCACAAGTCAGTGTGTGTATTGGCCATTTCCGTTCTAGCTGCAGTGGCGATTGATGATTGATGATTGATGGATTGTGACTTGTGACTTTTGGTTACCCAACCCAGGAAGAGGGGAGGGTGCTGCTAAGGAGACACGCCCCAAAGGAACAGACCAGCCTTTCTCAGGGAGCCAGGGGTGGTGCCATTGCTTCACTTAGAATGCCAGATAATAAACAACCAGGACTCGGCCTTTAGAAGTCAATGGAATAAATAAGCTGGAAAAGGTTGAAGAGAAAAAGCCAATGAACGTGTAAGTGGAGGATTATATGGAGCCATTTAAAATGACAAAAAGCAAGAGTAACAAAGCAGCAGATGGAATTTGGCCCCACATGGCCTTGCCAAACTAACTCTGAGAAGCACTGTGTAGAAAGTGTTCTGTTTATGTCCCCTGAAGCATTCATGGGGTTTCCTGGCCAAATTCTCAGGCTGTTTCTATGGCGCTTCCAGAAAAAAGAGTATAGCAGTGTTGATGTGTCCCCTCCCTTCTCATTCTGCATCCCCTTCGCTGCCTCGTGACATAAATCTCTGCTTCAAATGAGACTGTTAATAAAAAGTGTGGCAGGGGAGGGAGATGCTGTGATTTTTTTTCACACACAAAAAGGAGAAAAATCTCTAAGAGTAAACGGTGTTTATTTTTTTGTTGATTTTTTTCAATCAAATGGAATTGCTTAATTAAAAAAAAAAACTTATCTCTTTTCTCTTTAAATACTACAGACAACCTCATTTTATCTCAGCAGACACCTAGCAACAAAACACTGGACCCACCAGAGAAAACCGGGCAAGAAAAGCATCAGAAATTCAAGTCAACTATGGAGAATTAGTGTTAGCTGGCAGCTCTCAATTCTAAACAGAAATGTCTCAGAACCTATTGGGTTTGACAAAAGTTTCTTAGAACTGGGGATCTGGGAAAGTTGGACTCCTTTTAATTCTATTCCAATTGTTTTCTGCATAGGGAAATTAATGTCAATGCATCAAATGAAGACCCAAAGAAACATTTAAAAACATGTCAGACTAGTATTCAGTATGTGAGATTATTAAGCAATAACTTGTCCTCCTAGTTAACCTTGTCCTGGAATATATATAGGTTATTTGTAGCCGCCACCGCTATAATATTTTCTGAGGGGTGCCAAGCCGTATGCAAGATCTTTTTGCTAAAGTCCAGACTGTCGACACTGATCTCGTCTTTTCTCCGCTTGCCCCCTACGCACACTTTCCGCGGTTTTAGGATAGCCCGGGGTTTGCTGTTTTCCCTCGAGGCCTCCAGGGTGACGTCACGCTTGGTGTTTCTGTCGAACATCCTGAAGAAGTTGTTGTAGGAGCCTGTCATGATGACGCTGCAAGGTAGAGAGGAAATAGGGAGTCACTGAGGACAAGGGAGAAAGGCAGGAGCATATCCCCATTGTGTCTTTCTGGAGCCAATGACACCACATCGTGGCCAGCTTATGGCACCATCTGTTTCACTAAAAACCAAAAACCCAAACAGACTTGGTGGCGCGACCATGGTCTCGGTTTTGAAGGCTGGTTGGGAAATGAAGGATCATGATAATCCTCCTTGTTACTTACTTCTGTGGATAGATCCCTTTTGGTTCTTTGGCTCAGGGAGTGAGTCCTGTGGTTTTAATGATCCCAGCCTTACGTCCCTTAGGATTGCGAGGCTGGAGAGAGGTCAGGACAGGAGGAACACCTTTGAGAACACTGGTTATGCACACGGAAAGTGTGGTTGCAGGAGTGGGGCCGTGTGGCCAGATGTCTAAGGCTTTCTGCAGCCAGCACAGTGGGAGAAACGCTGATGATAGAATAGCACACTGAGCCTGGTGGGTCCTCCCCCTGCTAAGAACCAGCTCTCAATTCAGCCTTGCCAGCAAACTTACCTAAAAAACGGATGTCATCGTGGTCTCCCTCAGGAAGAGAGTAAATAAATTCAAATTTTAAAAGAACTTGGGAGGGGAAAGACTTGCTAGTGGATTGACAGATGGTGTCCACCTTTTTGTAAGAGTTCTCTACCCTCAGGCAGATCTACTACAGACTGAGGGCAGTGACTGCCAAAGTCTTCCAGAAGCAAGGGACCGACTCTTTACCGGTGACAGTTTGCACATACCGACAGGCTGGGGCGGATGGGGGGCGGGAATCATGCTGCTTCAGTAACATCCCACGGGGGCTGCCACTGGAATGTGGGGGCTTGGCCTCGGTGGTGGGTGAAGCCCTGACTGGCTGGTGAGGACGGGAGAGGACAGCACCTCCTCACTGTTCATGAGGCATGAGTGTGCAGACAGGTGCGGCGAAAACTGACAGCATGGGGCCACAGCCAGGGGGACAGGGTTGTGGGGTCATCTGTGCCAGGCAAATCAGTCAAGGGCTTGCTTGTGTAACTCTGGCCCGAAAAACAGACGCGGTGAATGTGTTTGTCTCTGTAGTGGAAGAAGCTGTTGCTACTTTATCAGGCAGGGTGCTGAGCGTTCGACTCCCCTGCAATCTCACCTGGACTTCCGTTATCCCAGATAGGGGCTTTACACCTGAGGAAAAGTGAGGAACTCGCTCACTGTGACAAAATGGCCGAGTCAGGCCTCCAACCCCCATGTGCCTGACCCGAGGCTGCCTAGCACTCCCCCACTGGCCTCACTGCTTCCCATGAACCAACAAGGCTTCCTCCACCATGACTCAGCTTGGTTTTAAACCGAGAAAGCCCTTGTGTTTTGGTTTTTGTTGGTTGGTTTGAAAAAAAAAAAAAAAACAACTCTCAACCTTATTTGAACTGAGAATTTTCTTGGTTATGGAAAGAAGTGAAGTTATGAAAAGAATGTCAATCTTAGGATTCAAACTCAAACCTTCCTACTCTTGTCTCTACTACGTACTAGCTCATGAGCTGGGGCAGGTCGCTTTATCTTGCCGAGCCTCAGTTTACTCAGCTATAAAACGGGGATGACGACAACAACCTTGTCATCTTGTGGTCAGGATTCTATAACAGGATGTGTGCGAAGGTGACTAATATGTACTTTGTGAGTCTAGGTTAAGGTAAGTTCTTAGGACAATAACAACAAATAGAATTTATTAATATAAACTACAAATAAAAATTAGAAACACAGGGTCGGGGCCGGCTACTTTCCCCCTTAGGAGCTGCGGTTCGTACATCACAGCTGCTCTGTCGTCCCTTGCCTCCGCCCTATAGCAACGGTGTGGGGTGGCTTGGGGCCTCTGTCATGTGGGGATTTTTTCCAGGTCTCCTAAATGGAAGCCACGTTTTGGTTCATTGGCAAAGAAAGCCAAAGAATGGCCAGAAACCGCTTGTTTTTACTATAAGTTCCAATCCCTGAATGCCCTGCCCTGACAGAAGGTAGTGCCTGCAAGCACTATTGGTGCCGTGTTCCTGAAAACACTAAATCAGCCCCCGGTAGCCTGCATTTTGTTCTGGAAGGCGGGGAATCATCTGTATTTGTCAAACTAAAAATGAACTATTAGAAGGTAATATGAAGTACTGTTGAAATAAAAGGCCTTAAAACAATAATAAATCACTCTGAGGGAATACGATAAATGAGGCCCAACTAGAATTCAGCTAATGAACCACCGGGGCCTTTGGACAGGTCTACACTAGAAGCGTCTAGGGATGATTTTCGATCTAGAAAGCGCAATAATTGGAACAGTTTATGCTGGAATTCGCTGGTGCATTATTAGTGTTCTTCATTTCGGCCCTGTTGACCTAGCTCTGGGGGCGTCTGGGGTGTAAGACATGGGATTTTCTCATTGATGTCCCATGGTCACCTGTACCAGGTCTGAAAGAGGATTCAAGGGTCTCACTCCATCCCTCCCTTATATCCAGGTCTGACCTCAAGGGAAATCCAGGGACCTACACAGTGGATTCCTGCCAGGCCCTGGGGCCTGATTCCGCCCTCCCTTTGGCCACGCCCTGCGCAGGATAAATGGCCCAGGGCCCCGGCAAATACAGGGCTCACCTCTGGAAGTTTCCCGAGCCACGGAGCCTCTCTTACCTGTCCGACCCGTTCCACACACACTCAAATTTATCAAAAATGCAGTCATTTTCGTAGAGGGAGCACAACTTGCTGCGGAGGTAGTCATGTACCTGTGGGGAAATACATCAAGAGGGGCGGTTATTATTTTAAAAATGCTCGTTTCTGTGAAGACCCCCTCTGGTGATGTGAGCTGTTAATTATTCCAGTATACATGTGCCTTGAATCGGATGGCCTGGGTCTGAATCCAGGCTAGGCTCTCTGCAGCCATGGGTTGGGGAGCTGCTTATGTGGCGAGTGTGGATGAAGCAAGCTTGCTTAGGGAGCTGGTGGCCGGCAGAAGGGCCCAGTAGGTGGTAGGGTCCCATTTTCTCAACTGACTTGCAAATACACATTAGAGGACACTATTCATTTGGTCTTTAACTCAACAAATGTTTATGGCCTGCCAGCTCTGTGCCTGGGAGAGGCAGTGAACAAAATACCCCTGGTGTGCTTTCATCCCAGCCTGGGGGCAAGTGAGCGTTCACGTGGGCCTTTTATGCTGAGCAAAGTGAGGAGACGTGGCAGAAAGGACCACTGAGCTGCGTCATGATAATGTGAGGCAGCAGAGGCAGGGAGGCCAGTGAGAGCCTGGTGGCAGGTGACGGTGTGGAGCAGGGCGGGAGCAAGCGGTCAGCTTCTCGGCATGTTTGCAGGGACAACTGATAGGATTCGTGGATGGTGCAACTGTGAAGTGTGGAAAGAAGAATTCGAGTCAAGATGGCTCCTGGATCTTTCTCTTAAGCAAGCGGAAGGATGGACTTGCCGCGTTCATTTTTGGGTATGATAATTTGGAGAAGCCTGTGCAGGTGGAGCTGCTGACGAGACTCTGATGTAAAGGTTGCAGTCCTGGATCATGGGCAATTCTCTCCTGTTTCTATTTTTCAGTGAAATAAGAAGCCAAGTTCGCAGCTGAGAGTGAGGAAGGGCAGGGGACGCTGGGGAATCATGCGGCATGGCTGGAGGGCGCTGGGGCCCCATGAAGTTGTTGGATGGGAACTTTACGTGAGACCAGTCAGCATGGTTGGGTCATTCACCCTATGCTCCCTGAGATGTTTTGGGGATTGAAAAGCTCTCTGAGTCATGCGGACAGTGCAAGTATTTCTAATGCGGCAAACGACTGTTCCCAAACAGTCCTGGGCCTTGTCAGGGTACCTGCCTCACTGCTTTGGTGACAAGAGAATCCATCTGCGGCAGGGCTTCTGGCATTGTTAGATGGAGAAGGGGACGCGAGGGTGAGGTTTACGTCGCGCACTTGAGACCTATACTATAACTCCTTGTCATTCCCTTCCTCTCCTGCCGCCTTTTGGGCCTATTCCAAGTGGCACAAGTCTGATGTAGAAGGCCATTTCTGTTTGTAGGGCTGCAGATCTCTAGTGATTAAGAGTCTTTGAACAAAGAAGCAGGAGAGAGTCTGTGGGCAAAAAAAAGGGGCTGATTCTTGATCCTGACCACTGTTCGGCAAACCTTTTCCAGCAAGGGCCAGAAAGTCAATATTTATGCTTTGTGGGCCACAGGACCTCTGTGGTGACTGCTCAACTCAGCCCTTGTAATGCAAATATAGCCGTAGGTAATGCATAAACAGAAGAGTGGGGCTGTGTCCCAACAGAACTTTACTTATAGAACAGGTGGGGGACAAAATGAGCCTCTGGGTCCTAGTTTTGCCAACTCCAGATCTTTCTTGTCTTTTCTTGACTTCTCATTGGCTTGTTCCTGGGTTCTTTGTAATAGAGAGCTGTGGCTTCTGAAGGGCAGTAGGCCAAGCGGGGAATTGATCCAGCGGGCAAGAGAAGCCAAGTTTGTTGTTCTAGTATAGGCTCACCTTGAAGATACTGTGGGTTCTAGACCATGATAATAAAGTGACTATTGTAACAAAGTGAGTTAAATAAACGGTTTGGTATCCCAGGGCATGTAGAAGTTAGGCTTACGCTATATTAAGTGTGCAATAAATTGCATTATCTAAAAAAATGTAGATACCTTAATTAAAAAATACTTAATTGCTGAAAACAAATGCAAATCATCTGAGATTTCCAGCAAGTTGTCCTTTTTCTGGTAGTAGAAGGTCATGCCTCAGGGTTGTCCTGACTGGCCGCAGTGGTGGTTGGTGAAGGCTGGTGTGGGGGTGGCGATTTCTTCAAATAGCACAAAGTGTGCCCTAGCTACGGCCTCTGTCTTTCACAAAGGCTTCTTCTATAGCATGCGGTGCTGTTTGATAGCATTTTACCCACAGCAGAGCTTCTTTCAAAATTGGAGTCGATCCTCTCAAACCTTGCCCCTGCTTTATCAACTAAGTTTATGTGATATTCTAAATCCTTTGTTGACATTTCAACAATCTCTACAGCATCTTCACCAGTAGATTCCAGCTCAAGAAACCACTTGCTCTGCTCATCTGTAAGAAGCAAGTCCTCATCCTTTTAAGTTCAGTCCCATCTGTAGGCTCCACTTGCTCTTTCCACCACATCTGCAGTGGTTTCCTTCATTACAGTTTGGAGCCGCTCAAGCTCATCCACAAGGACTGGAATCAACTGCTTCCAAACTCCTGTGCATGTTGATAGTTTAACTTCTTCCCATGAATCACCAATGTTCTTAATGGCACCTAGAGTAACAAATCCTTTCCAGAAGGCTTTGCATTTACTTTGCCTGCACCCATCAGAGGAATCACTAGGGCATCTATAGCCTTATGAAATGTAGTTCTTCAATAATAAGACTTGTAAGTCGAAATGACTTCTTGATCCATGGGCTGCAGAATGGATGTTATGTTAGCAGCCATGAAAACAACAGAAATCTCGTTGTACATCTCCCTCAGAGCTCTTCGGTGACCAGGTGCATCATCAATGAGCAGGTCTCAACCGTGGGCTTCAAATACTCAGTAAGCCATGTTGTAAACACAGTGCAGTCATCCAGGCTGTGTTGTTCCGTTTATAGAGCACAAGCAGAGTGGATTTTGCATATTTCTTAAGGGCCCTAGGATTTTCAGAATGGTAAATGAGCTTTGGCTTCAACTTAGTCACCAGCTGCATTCACTCCTAACAAGGAAATTAGCCTGTCCTTTGACGCTTTGAAGCCAGGTACTGACTTCCCCTCTATAGCTCTGAAACTCCTTGATGGCGTCTTTTTCCAACTGAAGGCTGTTTTGTCCACATTGAAAATCTGTTGCTTGGTGAAGTCACCTTCATGAATTGTCTCAGCTAGATCTTCTGGAGAACTTGCTGCAGCTTCTATATCAGCCCTTGCTGCTAATCTTGTGCTTTCAAGTTTTGGAGATGGCTTCTCTCCTTGAACTTTATGAGTACTCTATAAGTGGAACCTCTCCTAGTTTTAATTTTCTTCTGCAGCCTCTTCCCCACTCTCAGCCTTCAGAGAATGGAGGAGAGTTAGGGTCTTGCTCTGGTTTATGCTTTGGCTTAAGGGGATGCTGGGGCTGGTTTGATCTTCTCTCCAGATCACTCAAACTTTCTCCTAAGGCTGTTTCAATGTCTCATCATTCATTTGTTTGCTAGGGTAGCACTTTTAATTCCCTTCCAGAACTTTTCCTTTACATTCACAACTTGGCAGTTGGGTGCAAGAGGCCTAGCTTTCAGCCTGCTGTGCTTTTTACATGGCTTCTTCTCTATGCTTAATCACTTCCAGCTTTTGATTTCAAGTGAGAGATGTGTGACTCTTTCTTTCACATGAACACTTTGAAGCCAGGGGAGGGTTATCAACTGGCCTAATTTCAATATTGTTGTGTCCAGGGAATACGGAGGCCAGAGAAGGAGAGAAGGACAGGTTGGTGGATCAGGCAGAACACACACAACATAAATTATTTAAGCTCACCATCTTATATGGGCACTGTTTTGGCACCCCAACACAGTTAAAATAGTAATGTCAAAGATCACTCATCACAGATTGTCATAACATGTAATAGTAATAATGATAAAGCTTGAAAACGGTAAGGTGACACAGACATGAAATGAGCAAATGCTGTTGGAAAAATGGTGCTGGTAGACTTGCTCAATGCAGGGCTGCCGCCAACCTTCAATTTGTATATTAAAAAAAAAAAGGCAGTATTCGGAAGTGTAGTAAAATGAGACATGTCTGTACTCCAGCTCTCCTACTTTTTGGAGAAAAAAATGAGCCAAATACCTCCTTATTTTTCAGCCTTATCTCCCACTTACTCATTCCACTGATCTGATATGGAGCACTTTTCAGGCAAGGCACGGATGTGTTTTGAGAAGGGAGAAACTAGTTTTTAAAACATGGTTAAGCAGGTTTCTGTGATATAGAACCTCTTAGAATTCTACAAGAGTCAGGGAATTGTAAAATTATAAGAAATGGATAGTCATTATTTTATCTCACTATAATCACTAAAATTTGTTTTTTGGCTCAGCCTATGTTCTTCACAAACTTTTCTTGACATATTAGTCACCTATATTTCTATAAGACAGAAGGCCAAAGGTGAAAGTTTAGAAGTATCAAAACATGTGTGATCTGGACGAGGAACCACATTGCTAAGAACTCCACAAATAATTCTTGAAAGACAAAAGTCAGGAGGGATCTAAAGGAAAATCCAGTCTGAACCAGTATTTTCTCCTCCCAGCAGCTAAATTTGGGGAAGCTCCTACTGCCTTGACTTGACGTCATCTAAAGAAAAGAACATTGACTACGAAGGTATGTTACATTTATGTTCTGTTGCTCAAACAAAAAACAAAACCTTAGGCAAACAAGATGGACCTATCTCCATCAGAGGAGAGGATCAGGTAAGATACATTGATTAGAAACATCTAGAACACAGAGCAAAACTTAAAACTCACCCAATTTGATGCTTTTTTCTTCATGTTCCAAATATTTGTTGTCCATGTTCCTATTGTGTATGGCTTTGTTGACACTAAACTGAGCCTCCCAGCATAGAGGTTCTCAAATCATGAACTTGTGGAAGCCTGGTGTTGTACCTAATGGGACTGCTCATGAGGCCCAGCAAGAGTGAACTCTGGTTGGTTCTCAGACTTCTCTTGTAAAGAGTCACATGGCAGATATTTTAAGCCTGTGGGCTAGATCATCTCTGTCACATCTATTCAACTCTGCCATGGTAGCATGAAAGCAACCATGTACCCATGATCAGGTGTGTGTGTGTTTCAGTAAAACTTTTTACTAAAACAGATGGAGACTGGATTTGGCCCACCAGCCATGGTTTGCCAACCCCTGTTCTGTAGGAGAGCTTGAAAAGAGCTAATGATACTTAAGTCTACAGTTTCTTATTCCTGGAAAGATGCTGGAGACCAGTTGATGCATGTATGAAAATACATGGCAGGAACATTACTTGCTCCCCTCCACAGGGAAGGCATTAGTAACTGGTGATGGATTATTTCCCATTGGGCCAGCCTTCACCATCTTTTTCAACAGTGTTCTAGAAATTCAGAGTTTATTTGCCACCTTTTATATATTGGGGTATAGTATATAAATTTAAATTGCTTTGAAATATGCTATCTAAAGTTAAACTTCTGTAATATTTCCTTTCAATATGTGTGCTATGAGACCTATCTCAAAGCATTTGACAAAGAGCACTTCCACATCTACCACTAGCTGAACTTGCTTTGAGAATCACACTCTTAAAATGCTGATTATTCCATGTCCCAGCTAGCTTACTGGGTTCTAAAACCAGCTTTGCTCTTAAAGACTTTCTCTAAAATGAAAGTACTAATTGCTTCTGCCACTGAAGAGACTAAATCCAGTTTTCTCTCATCCAGTCTGGTCAGCAGGCCACAACTCTGTCCATACCACCCACACTCAGGTTCTAGTTGCCATTGCCCTCTGTCACACGAGAGGTGTGTGCAGCTAGAAGAGGACACGCGAGTTGGCTTAGCCCTGGGCTAAACGTGAAGGTGAGAGCCTCGAGGCAGGTGCTGTGAAGTGGGGCCCTGGAGTCTGGAAGGATCTGAGGGACAGGAAGACCCCAAATATATAGGGCAGGCTATTTCAACCACCTATGTCCTTTTGAATTCTGGCCCCTGCATTACTCACAGTTGGTCAAAGTCCTTGGGGTCCTCAATCTTCTCTATTTCTTCTGAAAGATTGGCTTGTCCTATGGCCACTCATGTGTCAAAGTAGGATGGGTGGGCTCCTTGCTGCTCCAGGCGATGATTCCTGTTCTAAAGCCCTCAGCTCCTTTGAAGTCATGTCACCAACTAAACTCCCTGCTGACTACCTTGTTATAGTTAGCAACAGTTCTGAGCCCCTCTGCCACATTCCTTGAGGCAATTTTAGCACCTGGATCCCCTGCCATTATTCTTCGTGGATCATTACTCTGGTCTCTCAGTTAGTTGGACTCATCATTTTCAATGTGTTTTTTTCCTTTGCTTCCTTGGCCACATGATGAGACTTGCCACGACCCTAATTATACCTGTTGAACAAGTACTGTTCTAAAGCTACCTCCTATCTTTTCAGTTCACTCTTTACTAGCTTGATTCTGTCAATTCTTCAAATCCATTATTCTGTCTACTTTTCTTCACACGTTATTTCCCTCCTTATCTACCTGAGGTTGAGTGGTCCATCGTTACAGTCACACCTTAAGTATCTCTCTCCTTCCATTGTACTCAACTGGATCACTGAACAACCCTGCCTCTCTCTTAGATGCGTATTTTACACTTCTCCTTCTCACTCAGCTAGTGACCTTGCTTCTTCTTTTATGAGAAAATAGAAGCAACAAGAAGAAACCATCATGGCTCCCAACACAATGCATCCATAGCTATTTACTCTTCTCTCCTTCCTTTGATGGATGAATCGTCCATCTTCCCATCTATGGCCTACAGCACCTGCCTTGAGGCAATGGACTCTGTTCCGTCTTGCTTCCCCCAAGGAGTCAACTGCTTGAATTGTTCTTTCTCTCCTGGCTTATTCCCCTCAGCATAAAACATGCTGTGATAACTTCCTTATGCCTGTATCCCATTCCTGCTACTACCCCATTTCGCTGTTGCCCTTTAGACTAAAATTTCTTGGAAGAGCTACCTGTACTCATTACACTCACATCTCCTATTTACAGTCTCTCTCAAAACCCACTCCAAGCAGACCTTCCTTAATACCATTCACCTACACCTATCTCCTCATCACTAAATCCAACGGCCAATTTTCAATCCTTTCCTACTTGATTCAGGAACAGCATTTGGTAGTGGGTGATTTCTCCTCCTTGAAATAGTCTCTTTACTTGGCTCCTAGAACATTCTTCTCACTTTTCCTCTTCCCAACCTGTAAACACCGGGTTCCCAGGGCATGGTCCTGACCACTTCTTTTCTCTAAGCTAAGGTATACTCAAACTCAAACTGAGCTGTCTACTTGCAATTTCTGGGTGTTTACTTGGCTCTACATGTCCCAAAATAAATCGTGGTTGCCTCATCTACATAATTTTCCTAATTGCTCAGGATAAAAACCTTGGAATGATCCCTGGGGCTTCTTTTCCTCTTACATCACATATCCAATTTGTTGTTAAGTCCTGTTGATTTTACCATGAAAATATATTAAGAATCTGGTCACCCCCATTGCTCACACCCTCATCTAGGCTACTATCAGCATTTGCCAGAATGTTGCAATAACTTGTTAAGTGTTCTATCTCCTCCCATCTCCCCCTCTAGTCTCTCCTCCCCAGCACAATCAGAATGTTAGTGATGAAAATGTTCTGAAATTGGAGTGGTGAGGGTTCCACAACTTTGTGAATATACTAATGTCGACTTTGAAAGGGTGAATATTACAGTATCTGAATTCTGTCTCAAGAAAAAAATATGTAAGTTAAATCCATCTAAAATTTTCACACCTCTTTTAATCTAAACCAAAATATCTTTAAAAAAGACCAGTTTATCCCTGCCTCTTTATCTTTGCTTCTATTGTGCTCTTACCTGAAATGAGCTTCTTCCGATCCTTTCTACCTCAAAGTCTAGTCTTCCATCTTCTAAAAAAGGCCATTGTATTCTAAACACTGCCTTCTCCTTTGTTCCCTTTGTCCATCAATCTACCAACCATTTAGCCAATGCTCAAGCTAACAACCTGCACAGTCTTAACTCTTCTTCCCTTCACATTGAATTGGCAAGTGCACCTCACAGACTCTCCTCCTACCTCTCCCTCCATCTGCATGCCACCATTCCAGCGCCAATTGCCATCATCTCCTCCTGTCATTTCCAGTGTAAAACCTTTTAATGGTTTTCCATTGTCCTCAGGCTGAAGACAAAATAACCGAATCTTCTTTACCAGGGCCTACATTTCCTGACTCTTCTTTCTGCCCATGTTCTATATTTAATATACAAATAACTCTTTTCTGAACATAGCAGCTATGAACACACTATCCTTCTGGCTTGTTCCTGGCAGTCAAGGCTCAGCCTTTGGGTCTCTTCTCACCAGGCTGACCCTCCTTGCCTGTGCTCGCAAGCACCCAGTACCATCTCTAGCCTCACTGCCTACTCAATCCCCTATTCATCATTGGGCTTCTCTACCAGTCAGGTCTAAGAGAACAGGACCATGTCTGCCTTGTGTACCTTTCTATCTACAGTATCCATCCCACATTCAATGCTCAGTAGATACAGGTTAAATGGAATTCAAGCTCCTCCTTATGTACCCTTGTCTAATATCCTATGGCCCTTATAAACTATACCATTTTATTGAATATATATATGATGATGTACGGTCTCTTACCCTTGTGCATTGGAAGGCTTTGCAGGCAGAAGCTGATGTGGAGGCCCACAAAGGAAGTGCGTTATGTACCTACAGGTGGGTGGTGGTCCATACCTGGTAAGTCTCAATGGGGCGGTTTTCCATGTTGAGATCCCAAACTTTAACGGTCAGATAGTCTCTGGTCATGATATACCTCCCACTGTGGCTGAACTTCACATCCGAAATCGAAGAGATAATTTCAGAGAAAAACGACCTGTTGCTTGGATCTTCGGGCTCTTCAAAAACTGCAGAACAGAAGCAAAAATGAGAGAAAATAAGTACATCCTTATCAACTAACTCTACCACGTTTGGGCCAGCTAGAAAGCCAACACTCTAACTTGGAGTAGAATCTGCAGGATGTAAGTAAGTTACCGATCAAGAACCTGAAAGCAGAAAAAGCAGTCACTGGTTTCTGTATTTTCTTTCTCATGGAAGGACTCGCATGGGACCTGTACCATCCAGAGATCTGGCACAGAGCCTCGCCAAGCTCTGAGTCGGTGTATCTAACTATTTCACAATTCCCCTGGTCTCTGTGTGTCACTGCTCCTGTCAACACCTGGAGTCATCGGAGATGCTTAAAAAATGTGTTTATAGCTTTCTTGAGATATAAAATTACATACCATAAAATCTGCTCATTTGAAGTTTATAGTTCATTGGTTTTTTTCAGTATAATCACATAATTGTATAAGCATTGCCACAGTCTAAATTTGAAACTATTTCATCAACTGACCCCCCCCAACTCCCAAATTCCATACCCATTTGTAGTTACTCCTCATTCCCTACTCCTGCAGCCCTAGGAAATGACTAATCTGTTTTCTTGTTCTATGAAATTGCCTAATCTGGAAATTTCCCCTAAATGGAATTATACGAGATAGTTTTTCTGTGACTGGCTGCTTTCCCTCAGTATACTGTCTCCATGGTTCATCCATGCTGTAGTATATATCAGCACTTCATTCCTTTTTACAGTTGAATAACAACCCATTGTATGGATATACCACATTTGGTGTATCGATTAAACACTTGATAAATACCTGGGTTTCTACTTTGTGGCTACTAAGAATAATGCTGCTATGAATATTCATGGACAAGCTTGTGTGTGGACATTTATTTTCATATCTCTAGGTCACAGTTTTTAATAGTGGCACTTGGCTGAGCCTCAGTCATGTCTTTTGTATATATTCTCCATTTGTTCTGATATCCAGGCACTTATTACTTCTCAGTAGCTTCATCTGATTTCCACTTAAAGGAATGAATACAAACCTCCTCAGCTGGACAGCAAATCCCATCAGAAGCTGGTGTACTATGTCTATCTACCTTGATTTTGAACTTCTCTGGTTCCAATTGAATGTATAGAATATAGCTTAGGTATATCTTGACCTTTCCCATTTCTATGATCTGCCTTCATTGACTCAAATTCTGAGGGACTCTCGCTACTCTCTTAGCCTTAAATGATCATTTTGTGGAAGCCCCCTATACTTGGTCTGGCCCACTTGTTTAATAGGACCTAAGGTACTCTCACATTATGATTTAACAATCCTTGCATTTGTTTTTATCTCAACAGCATTGTCAGCTTCTTTCTGGTTTTCCCTTGTACTGAAAGTCTTGCATACAAATGTTCAATAAACATGTGTTGTTTGATTAGAACCACAGCTAGATCAGTGAATGAATTCTTTGCCGTCTAGGGGCTCAGCATGTCTGATGCGGAGTTATATGCAATTGTCCATACTTACTTTTAACCTATAATAATGGTAATTAATTGTGATACCAACACTTGTTAAGTGGAACCATACTCAATTTTAGGCTAAACAAAACATCAGTCTGCAAGTTAACACATCCTCCAGAGCTTTCTCTTTCCTGCCTTCTCAACACACTCAGAGTCAGTATCTAATTCTATGTAGAAAACCTAAGGCTATAATGAGTTATCTTTCAAACCTTCCTGAATTAAACTCTGAGCCAAACCAAAATTCTAATTGTTACTTCACCATTTAAGAGAACCCCCAAAAACCCTCATCAATCAGAACTGAACTTGAGAATTAAACCCACTGAAACAGAAAAACCTCTCGGACTTTAATCAAGCATTCAGGAAGGCCCCTGGACTCTGACTGGTGTCCTCATAATTGAGAACTAGATTTTCACATTAGTTTCTCTTCCAGGGAATCTCATTAGGGCTGGGGTCTTACAAACTCCAGGCAAGCCCCATGGCAAACAACTCAATAGACAAGCAGGAGCCCTGAGGTGTGGTCATCTCCCCCTGATGCACCTGCAGTAAATGGGAAGGGATCGGTTAAAAATCCCAACCTTTGGGGGAGGGGGAAGATGGTGGAGGAGTAGGGTATCCTATTCCAACCGGTCCCTGGAATTGAGCTGGATATCTACCAGACCACTCTGAACACCCAGGAAATTAGCCTGAGGTGTAAGCAGATAGACCTGGGATCTCCACAAACAGAATACCCCAGGCAGTTGGTTTCGAGGTACAAAGTGGGGAGCCGTGATTCTGCGGGCAGATATCGGAGGATAAATGGCAGCGGGAGGGAGCCTGGCCGTGGGGATCCTACACCGTCAGTGAGCAACAGCCTCCCGTGCTGGGGACAGGGCACAGACTCGCAGACCGGTAGCGGCGGGTAAAGGACTTTAGGGCAGCCCCCTGGGTGGAAACCCGGAGTGGCAGGGTGATGTGTGTGAATTGGGGGTGGCTGACGGTTTTAGAAGCACAAAGGGTAGAGACGAGCCCCTACCTGGAGGCGAGGACTGGGAGCACTGCGGAGGGGCACACAACCCAGGACGCTGCAGTTTATAGCAGCACAGACAGAAATGGAGATAGTGTGGCCTGGAGAGCTCCCTGAAGAACAGACTGTGATCTCTCTGCTCTGAGACAGAGGGTTGGAAATGGTCTCTTCTGCTCTCTCAGAAGAGATGTGGAAAGCCACCAGGGAAAGCCACCAGAGAATAAAAGCCCCCCCAAACCGGTTTTCACAGAGCCCATTCCCCACCATAGGGGGCAGAGCAACTCTGCCCAAAGAGGGTTGCCTGAGTAACAGTGAGGCAGGCCCCTCCCCCAGAAGACAGCCTGGGAGAACAAGAGGCCAGCAACCCTAAGGTCCCTAGAAAACAGGTGCATCTTGCTTGGGTTGTGGTCAATAATTTGGACTCTATACATTCCCTCAACCACCCATCAACAGAATGACTAGGAGGAGGAACCCCCAAAATAGGAAAGACTCAGAGACTATGACTTATGCCACAGATTTACAAATGGATTCAGATATAACCAAGATGTCGGAGATGGAATTCAGGCTAGCAATTGTGAAGACAACAGCTAGAATGGAGAAATCAATTAATGGCAACATAGAGTCTCTAAGGGCAGAAATGAAAGCTGAATTGGCAGAACTTAAAAATGTTATCAATGAGATCCAATCTAATCTAGATAATCTAACAGCTAGGGTAAGTGAGGCAGAAGAACAAATTAGTGACATAGAAGACCAATTAATAGATAAAAAGGGAAGAGAGAAGGCCAGGGAAAAACAACTCAGAATCCAAGAAAGTAGAATCAGAGAAATAAGTGACACCATGAAACATTCCAATGTCAGAATTATTGGAATCCCAAGGGGGTGGAGAGAGAGAGAGGACTAAAAGATATATTTGAGCAAATCGTAGCTGAGAACTTCTCTAGTCTGGGGAATGAAACAAACATTCGTGTCCTAGAGGCAGAGAGGACCCCTCCCAAGATCAAGGAAGACAGGCCAACACCCCGGCATGTAATAGTAAAACTCGCCAATCTTAGAACCATCTTAGAAACCATCTTAAGGGCAGTTAGGGGGAAGAGATTCCTTACGTACAGAGGGAGGAACATCAGAATAACGTCAGACCTATCCACAGAGACCTGGCAAGCCAGAAAGGCCTGGCAAGACATACTCAGGGTACTAAACGAGAAGAACATGCAGCCAAGAATACTTTATCCAGCAAGGCTGTCATTTAGAATGGATGGAGAGATGCAGAGCTTCCAAGACTGGCAGAAACTGAAAGAATATGTGACCAGTAAGCCGGCCCTGAAAGAAATATTACGGGGGTTCTATAAAAGGAGAAAGACCCCGAGTGATATACAACAGAAATTTACAGGGACAATCTATAAAAACAAGGTCTTCACAGGCAACACGATGACAATTAATTCCTATCTTTCAATAATCACTCTCAACATGAACGGCCTAAATGCTCCCATAAAATGGCACAGGGTTGCAGACTGGATAAGAAGACAGGACCCATCCATATGCTGTCTATAAGAGACTCATTTTGAACCTAAAATTACATCCAGACTGAAAGTGAAGGGATGGAGATCCATCTTCCATGCCAACGGACCTCAAAAGAAAGCTGGGGTAGCAATTCTTATATCAGACAAATTAGATTTTAAACTAAAGACTGTAGTTAGAGACACAGAAGGACACTATATCATTCTTAAAGGATTCTATCCAACAAGAAGATCTAACAATTGTAAATATCTATGCCCCCAACATGGGAGTAGCCATCTATACAGGCCAACTGTTCCCAAAATAATCATATTGATAACAATACGTTAATTGTAGGAGACCTCAATACTCCACTTTCAGCAATAGACAGATCATCTAAGCAGAAAATCAACAAAGGAACAAGAGCTTTGAATGACACACTGGACCAGATGGACCTCATAGATATGTACAGAACATTCCACCCTAAAACAACAGAATACTCATTCTTCTCGAGCGCACATGGAACTTTCTCCAGAATAGACCACACACTGGGTCACAAATCAGGTCTCAACTGATACCAAAAGACTGAGATTATTCCCTGCATATTCTCAGACCATAATGCTTTAAAACTGGAACTCAATCACAGGAAAAAATTTGGCAGAAAATCAAACACTTGGAAGCTAAAGACCACTCTGCTCAAGAATGTTTGGATCAACCAGGAAATCAAAGAACTTAAACAATTCATGGAAACCAATGAGGATGAAAACACATCCGTCCAAAACCTATGGGATACTGCAAAGGCGGTCCTAAGGGGGAAATACATAGCCATCCAAGCCTCACTCAAAAAAATATAAAAATCCCAAATTCACCAACTAACTCTACACCTTAAAGAACTAGAGAAAAAGCAATAAATGATGCCTAAGCCATGCATTAGAAGAGAAATAATTAAGATTAGAGCAGAGATCAATGAATTAGAAACCAGAAACACAGTAGATCAGATCAACGAAGTTCTTTGAAAGAATTAATAA